GCTGCGTGGTCCAGAGGGCAGAGCCGGATGCCTGGGTGCCTGGGAACAGGGCCCGCTCGGCCGGGGTCAGAGCCATGCCGAGCTGCAAAGCGGAGCCAGCCTCTCCTGGCACGGCCACAGCACCATCCTCAGCCCCGGGGGCATCACCCGCTCCAGGGACCAGGCCAGGACCCCCGGGCTCCTTCCCTGGCTCTGGGCAAGGCCCCGGTGGTAGCGTGCAGGTCGTCACACTGGTCTCCTCGGACGCAGCCTGGGATGGGAGCGGGCAGTACCCTGCCCCTGGGCACAGGAACCACCTGCCCGGCTGGGAGATGGGCCCCGGGGGGCACCCAGGGCAGCGGTGCATGCCCAGCCCTCCTGGTGCAAGGGCTTCCCTCCCCTGTGGTGAAACCCGGGCGAGAGGAGAAGGGGGCAGGCTCTGGGTGATGCCCAGCTCTGCCCCCCCCACACAGGCAGACGGGGCTGCTGGTGCTGGGGGCAGAGGGCAGCCCAGCCTTCGGGGCCTGCCTGCAGAGCCTGGCCCAGCACGGCGTGCCCCGAGAGCTGCTGTCGGCGCAGGAGCTTCCCCGGCGCTTCCCCGGCCTGCGGGCCTACCGCGGGGAGACGGCCGTGTTTGAGCCCAGCGCAGGCGTGCTCCGCGCGGACAAGGCGCTGCGGGCCGTGCAGGTAGGGGCAGGGGGTTACCCCTAGGCAAGGCTGGCCTCGGCTCCCCTCCCCGGCAGCTCTGTCCTGGGACAAGGGGTGGCTGTGAGGGGCTGAGCCCCGGTCTGTGCCTGGTCCAGGACCTGTTCCTCCAGGCCGGCGGGGCCCTGCGGGACAGCGAGAAGGTGGTGGCCATCGAGCCGGGGCCCGTGGTGACCGTGAGAACCAGCGCAGGGGTGCACCGGGCCGGGAGCCTGGTGATCGCTGCCGGGCCATGGACCAACAAGCTTCTGGCCCCGCTGGGGCTGCAGCTGCCCCTCCAGGTGAGAGCGGTGCCAGGAGTCACCGGGCCTCTACTCGCACCAGCACCCATCTCCAGCCCGGCCACGCACGTGTTGCACGTGGCTGCACGCGTGTTGCACGTGGCCCTGCTGTGCCTGGGGCGGAGGGCGCCTGCCTCACCTGCTGCAGCCAGGAGCACGGGCAGCTTGCAGCTGGGACCCTCCTGCCCCAGTGACGGCTGCGCCCTCCTGCCCCAGCCCCTGCGTGTCAGCGTGTGCTACTGGAAGGAGAAGGTGCCCGGGACCTACGGGAGCCCCGCGGGCTTCCCCTGCTTCCTGAGCCTCAGCACCAGCCAGGCGCCCCACGACATCTACGGGCTGCCGGCCAGCGAGTACCCGGGGATGGTGAAGGTGAGCATGGCTGGGAATGCCGGCCACGCGGCCCAGAGTGGGCACATGTGGGCACACAAGCACGTATGCACACACGCATGTGGACATGTGCAGAGGCACACTACACAGGCATGTGAGAGGGGACCCACGCACGTGCACAACTGCAGCGTGCACATGTGTGCTCACAAACACACCACTAGTGGCGCACGCTCAGTTGGGGCCGCCCATGACGTGGGTGTCTCCCTGCTCGCTGCCCAGGTCTGCTACCACCACGGCTGCCCCGTGGACCCCGACGAGCGGGACCGGGAGCCCAAGGGCTCGGCCCTGCCCGACATCCAGATCCTGCGCGGCTTCGTCGGCCGGTACCTGCCCGGCCTGGAGCCCGAGCCGGCGGTGGTGGAGAGCTGCATGTACACAGTAAGGGGCGCTGGTAGGGGCAGGGCGAGGGCAGCTCCCCCTGGCTCAGGTGGGCACTGGCCAGTGCACACACCTCACCCTCAGACCCAAGTCCAGGGTCAAGGGCGGCTGGAGCCGGGACAGGACCCAGGAGTCCGGGCTCCCAGCAACCCCCTTGCTGTGACCCACTGGACCCTGCAGATCACCCCAGATGAGGACTTCGTGCTGGACCGGCACCCCCAGTTCAGCAACATCGTGATTGGCGCCGGCTTCTCAGGTAAGCGGGGCGGGTGCCACGGCCCCCCACCCCGGGGCACCCCGAGGAGCACAGACACCCCCTTCCCTGCTCCAGGACACCCCCAAACGTGTCCCCATGCCGGGCACCAGGACCATCACCACCCACAGGGCAGAGCAGCCCCAGGCTCCCCTATGCGCAGGGGCAGGGGCAGTGCCTGGCACACTGTGGGCAGGGGGAGGGCAGGACACACGGGGTAGCCGATGGCACCAGGGGGCCATTCCCACCTGTGGAGTCTCCGCTCTCCTCCTGCCTGCGCAGGCCACGGGTTCAAGCTGGCGCCGGTCGTCGGGAAGGTCCTGTGCGAGCTGAGCCTGGGGCAGGCGCCGTCCTGCGACGTGGAGCCGTTCCGGATCCAGCGCTTCCCCAGCCAGCGCCGGGCGGCCCTGTAGGGCTTCCCTGCCCGCACCCCAGACACACCGCCAGGAGCCACTGCCCAGCCCACGGACCCACAGCGGAGGCCCCGAGACAGCCGGTGCCCCCACGGGAAGCTGGAGGAAGACGCTGCCCCGGAGCCCTGTCTGCCCACATGAAACTGCCCCTGCCGGCCTGTCTCGGCCTGTGCCCGGGGCAGCCGCCTGGAGCATGGGGTGCATCCAGCGCGACAGGCTGGGCTCGAGGGGCCACGGGCCGGATGCACCAGGTACCCCAGGGCTGGTGCTGGCTCCGGGCTCTGCAGGGCCCCCGAGCCCTGTCCCCTCCCTGGCCCTGCCGTCTGCCCCGTGGCGGCGCGCGTCCACGCCAGACCCTCATCTAGGTGCGTGGCCAGACTCACGAGGACGGAGCTGTCCTGGCGGGGAGAGACGCTGCGTCGAAGCAAGTGAAATGTTTTAATGTTAAATGTGCCGTTTCATTATCATTAGATCGCCCGCGCTTAATGAGAGCGTATTAGCGCGGCGTCGGCGCGGCGGTGCCTGGGGCTGCAGCTGCCCAATTTGTTTGAGAGCTCGCAGCCAGCTCTCTCCCCTGGGCAGCTGCGGGCATGCCGCTGGATCGGGGCCCTGCCCACCGATGCCCGCAGGGCCAGCGCAGCCAGGGGACCCCCAGGCCCCCGTGAGCCCGGCGGCCCTTTGGCTGGGCTGCGAGTGCCAGCCTCGGGCACCCTGCTCCTACCCAGGGAGGCATGCCTGCCGCAGGAGGCTGCTGGGCCTGAGCCCCCGGCCGCAGTGGCTGCTCTCTCGGGGAGGCTGCTCATGGATTAGGATGCTGGGGTGTCTGAGACTGATGAGCCCGCGGCTCCCCCGGCACCAGCGCCCTGCAGGGCCCAGTGGGCAGCGAGAGGTGGATTGGGAGCTGCATGCCCGAGGGTGCCCGTCCGCAGCCAGCAATCTGCATGTACATTGGGATGCAGAGATTATTTCAGCCCCCCAGGGCCATGGAGCCCACCCAGGCTGGGGGAGCCTCGTGCCGGCCCTGCACCCCCTCCCAGGCTGGGCTGGGGGCCCGGAGAGCCCAGCCCCCCCCGGCTGCTGCTTGGCTGCAGAGGAGAGTGACTGCTCAGCACATTTCCCCGCCGAGGCACCAGCCCATAAATCAAGCACGAGGAGCGGGCTCAAAATGTGCCTTGCCTTGCACTTTCACGCCTGCCTGCTCTGGGAACGGCTCCACAAATGCTGCTGTGAGCAAGGGCTGAGGCCGGCTACAACACGGTGGGCACAGGAGGGGCTGGCACGGCCTGGGGCTCCCCCCCACCTATGGCCAGGGCTTGCCCGCCAAAGCCAGGCCTGGTGGGCAAAGGCCGGGGGTCCCCATGGCCTGCAGACTGAGCTGGGGTCTGCGGGTGCTGTCCAGGGTCTGTTCGGAGCCATCCTGGGCCCGGGATGGGTGGCAGAGCCTCCCCCTGCACCCCAGCACGGAAAGGACAGGAGTGCAGGACCCCCATCTCCACCAGCTGCGTGCCCCACGGCTTGCCCGGGCTGCCCGGACAGGTGCCCAGTGGCTGCAGGAGGCCAGCCTTTGTGCCCCAGCCACGAACCAGGCCCAAGCCGCTGCGGGGGCGCAGCACCATGCACGCGGCAGGCACAGGCAGCCCCGCGCTCCCCGCCCGCTGCGCTGCTTCGCAGACAGTTATTTATGCGGCGCGGCTTGGCTCCAGCTGACTGCGAGGAGCAGAAAGCAGGTGGGCCGGCCCGCGGTGCCGGCACGCGCCATCTGCTCCCAACGAGATGAGATTTGTGACCACCATCTCCCACATGCTTGCTTCCAGGAGGGCCCTCGGCACCACACCGGGATCGGCGCCCGGCCCTGCACCGTGCCGTGCCAAGCCATGCCAGCTCCAGCTCCCCTAGCCGCCGCAGTGCTGCAGGCGCCTGCTCCCCGCAGCCGGCGCAGTGCCATGAGCAAGACCTGGCGTCACCAGCCGTAAATGACATTTATTTTAATATTTAACAGAACCGGACAGGGAAAGACGCACAGCTGAACTAGTGCAAAACAGACAGACGGCGCTGGGCCCGGGCGCCTCCACCCCGTGGCAGCCGGGCCAGGCGGGCATAAATTAGCAGAGGGGGATGTACAGGTAGGGCTGGCCCAGGGTCCCGTGGCAGTAGTTGAGTCCTTGAGGGGGGGCAGGGATGTTTCCTTGGCATGAACTCGGGCAGCTCGTTCATAGGCGGGCGGGGGGTGGCCGCGGAGACGTCGCAGCCAGCAAAGGAGTGCCAGAAGTGAGGAGGTGCCGCTGCGTGGGCTCTCAGCCGCCCCGGGGGCACGTGCGTGTGTGCGTGCATGGGTACATGTGTGTGCACGTGTGGGCTGGGGCAGGGTGACATTCCCAGGTGCTGGCACAAGCAGCTGGGGAAGAAAGTAAAGCAACCCCCCCGTCTCTCTCCCTGAAAGCCAGGCTCCAGGCACTGGACCCATGTGCAAAGGGCGGCAGCAGCGTGAGCGTGTGTGTGCAACACAGCCCCAGAGGCACAGCGCTGCTGCCCCCCTGCCCATGGGCACAAGGCGACTGCACCCGGCGAGCCACGGAGCTGGGCACCGTCTTTGGCTCAACGAGGAGGGAGAAAGCGAGAGCAGCCGGGGGGGCCGTTATCAGATGAAAAGGCAGCAGGCGC